CCTAAGCCATCACTAAAGAACTTTATACTGAATTGATCATTTTAAAAATCACGAAAGAAGCCGGGTGTGGTGGCGCACGCCTGTAGTCCCAGCACTTGGGAGGCAGAGGCAGGCAGATATTTGTGAGTTGGAGGCCAGCCTGGTCTACATAGTGAGTTCCAGGAAAGCTGGGCTACAAGGAGCCCCTGTCTCAAAAAAACCAAAAAAAAAAAAAAAAAAAAAGAAAGAAAAACAAGTCATTTCTCAATAACATTTATTATTAGTTTTTAGTGATAAATCACCAATTATACCTATTAACAAAAATACATTTGTTCCTGCTAATTCCAGGCCTTGAAATTACCTCAACAATTGGGAAGTCCATTTGTCAGTGGAAGTCCACTGAGGTTAGTGCTCTACCCTTTCTCTAGCTATTTAGCTTTAATGTACAAATGGCAGGTAGTCTCTTTCAATCAGCAGCATAAAGGTTAAGAGTGTGGGTCGTGGAATTGGACAAGTTTGGGCTCAAATCACTGCTCTCCCATTTATTAGCTGGGACTTTGGGTAAGTTACTTAACCTTTTCGTTTCTCAGTTTCCTACCTGTAACATGAGGGTAATCATGGCACCTACTTCATAAAACTGGGTTAGTCATTAACATTTTAATTAAAGCACTCAGTTTTAACTTTTAACTGACAATTTGGATATGAATATTACTCACCTTTAAACTGTACAATTTCTCCATTCTGGGTTTTTGGCAGTCCCTTTAGACAAACTTCACTGGTAAGAGCTAAGGCAATACCACAGCTCCCTAGCAAGAAGCCAATCTGCTGACCTCCGGCATCCTGTGGAGAAAAAATAATGAGCACAGTCAGGTAGTGAACATGCTCAGAACCCAGCACCTAGAAATGCTCTGGCACTGGGTGACTGCATTATGGAGTCCCACTGACTTCTGCCAAATGTTACAACTCACTGACAACATGTTCCTACAAATTATTTCTACAATGGTTTCTTACATACAAATCAACCATTTCATTAACCTGACATTGCTAATTATGCATCCTACTAGCCACATGTGACCATTTTACTCAAGGGTCAATAATAACTATCTTAGTTTGAGGCAAATAAAATAAATTCTAACATAGCTTCTTTTCCTAGCCCTACCCCCAAATGTAAGACTAAAGGGATTCAGGTTGGAAAAATAAATAAATAATGTAGATGAATATCAAAGTTCCAAAATTCCAATGGACAGGTATACCAAATCTGTATATTTCTTTTATTAATTTATTAAAAAGGAAATATACCTAAACCTTAAAATGGCAGCAAAAGCAACCTAAGACTCAGTCTAAAGTATTTCTATTAAAATGCTACCTTCAAGATATCATAAGGAAACCACCCAAATTCTGTCAACTTAATAATTTAAGAACAACTTTATGATTTCCTGATCAATAAAAAGATACTATACCCCACCAACTTTAAGAATTTTATCAATTTGCTTTGCATTACTTTCAAAAAGTAATTTTTTCTTATAAATCAACATTCTCCACCATAATTTGTCTCTAACACCAATTCTCAGTAATAAACTGCATGAAAAAAGTAGGGCGATAGCTCACAGAGAACTCATTTGGTAAACATGGAACTTTGTGACATCATCTTTAGCAGGCTGTTTTGTGCAAGTACAATTCTTTAATCCAGAGCAGCAATGTGAAATCACCACATCACCCTCTCACTTAAGGAAATTCTAAGTCATGTGATATGGTTAAAGGAAATTCCTTGACAAAAAGAGTCTGAAACAACAGCAAGACTATTAATGGTAACCATCGTACAAACACATATGTCCTCATGATTTTTACTTACTTATTTAGTTTTTTTTGAGACATGGTGTCACTATGTAACCCTAGCTTACCATGGCACTTGCTATGTAGATCAGGGAGAGAAGGGAGGGAGAGAGGGAGAGAGGGAGAAAGGGAGAGAAGGAGGGAGGGAGGGAGGGAAGGAAGGAAGGACCTTTGTTAACTGGAAATATGCTATTTGCTCAACACTTATCACTGAGTCAATCAATTCAGCAAGAGCCCAATGCCTCCTGCATTACATCAAGCTACATTTAACTTAGCAATGTTACCTTTCTGGTAAGGGGCACCTCTATTGGTACTGGAATCACTTCTGCCAGGAGACATCCATAAAAAGCCACCATAAACATGACTGGATCATTGTTGGGGTAAACCAGAGCAACCTAAAATTCATAAAGACATTGAACAACACAGGAATACAAACTATCTCTTTCAATGCATACATAACATTTACCATGAATATAATAAATCAAACTATTTATTAGTTATTTATTCTAAACGAAATTGTTAAGGAGAAAGACACAAAAATTGGGTAAGCTCTCCATCATTTCCATGACTGTACTATATATTTTGAGGCTTAGGGATGTGGCTCAGTGATAAGAGTATTTGCCTAGTATAAGGCCCTGTTTGCAGTCCCAGTAAAACCAAAAAGCATAAGCAAAAACAATAAAACTTATGTATTTGGGGAAATAAAAATGTAATTCATTATCATTGTTATAAAATGTTTCATATACTTTTTAAAAATTTATTATTTTTTTTTATTTTATGTACATGCATGTATTGCCTTCATGTAGGTCAGTGCACCTGTGTTGTTCAATGCCCAAGGAGCACAGAAGAGGCTGTTGGAGCCCCTGGAACTGGAGTTACAGATAGTTGTTAGTTGCCATGTGGGTGCTAAGAATCGAACCTGGGTCTTCTGCAAGAACAGTCAGTGTTCTTAACCATTGAGCCATCTCTCCAGCCCCTCATATACTTCTAGGTATGATTTAGTAGTAAATAAGTCACTTTTCAGTGTTAATTACTTAGAAAACCTAAGGCAATGTACTTTAGTGCACAGCTAATTCAATAAACATGGTCAACAGAATAGCAGATTAAAGAATAAGCTTTATATCTCTCAGAGAGCGCCTACAAGTCTTAACCAGCTGAACAACCACATTAGGACCATATGAAAGCCTACTCATATGCATGCATTGCCTTCGTGTAGGTAAGTGCACCCATGTCGTGCAATGCCCAAGGAGCACAGAAGAGGCTATTGGATCCCCTGGAACTGGAGTTACAGATAGTTGTTAG